TGCAGCCAGCAATGCTTGCCGTAGCGTGCATCCTGGTATGAGACGGTGCGAGGACACGGTGTCTCCGCTATGGGCGGGCAACCAACACACACACACACACACGCGCGCGCACGCACGCACGCACGCACGCAGGCTCGCACGCACGCAGGCTCGCACGCACGCGCGCACGAACGCACACCCGCCCGCCCGCACGCGCGCACGCACGCACGCACGCACGCACGCGCAAGCGCGCGCACGTGCGCATGCACGCGAACCTTCACACGTACGCGCACGCGCACGTGCACGCGCACCCGCAACCCGCACCCGCAACCCGCACCCGCACCCGCACCCGCACCAGCACCCGCACCCGCAACCCGCAGCCGCAACCCGCACCCGCACCCGCACCCGCACCCGCACCCGCACCCACACCCACATCCACATCCACACCCACACCCACACCCACACCCGCACCCACACACACGCCCACACCTACACCCACACCCACACACACACCCACACCCACACCCGCTCCCACACCCACCCACGCACCCACCCACCCACCCACCCAACCACACACACACACACACACACACACACGCACGCACGCACGCACGCACGCACGCACGCACGCAGACACACACGAACACGCGCACACACGCACACACACACACATACACATACAGACACAAACACACGCGCACACACGCACATATGCACCCACGCACCCACGCACCCGCGCACACACGCACACACGCACACACGCACATACACACAGACAGACACGCACACACGCACATACGCACACACGCACACACGTACACACGCACACACGCCCACACCCACGCACACACAGACTCTCTCTCCCTCTCTCTCACGCACACACACAGACATGCGTGCACACAAAAACAGACTCTCTCTCTCTCTCTCACACATGCACACACACAGACACGCGCGCGGGCGTCCGCGGGACCTCGTGGATCGCGGGGGACGCATGGCGGAGAGTGGCATGGACCCGTCCCCCACAAGATGTCGGGTCAGGCGGGGAAAGAATGCCGAAGATCCGACGTCGGTCTTCCGAGCCTGCAGCTCCACATAGGAAGGCGGTGAGGAAGCCGGCCTGCGGCAGGGCAGGCCAGCAGCAGGAGAAGGATGCGCAGGTGTTAGGCGGCAAGGTCTCCCAGCTGAGCAGGCATGCGCGCAGGAACGAGCACACCCACATCTCTGTCGGAGCCGTGGTGGTATACGGGCAGTGCCCACAATGCTCGGCATTATGGTACCTGGTCAGCGGGGGCATATTGTCGGATGAGGGCTCACTACATCTCTCCCTCTCTCTTCCCCCTTCCTCCCTACTCCCTCCCTCCTCTCCCTCGTCCCTCCCTTCTCCCTCCCCCTCGGCTCACCTCCTCCTCCTCCCTCCACCCCCTTCCCCCCAGAGACAACCCTCTTGAAGACGTCCGGAGGACTCCAGCTCCAAATAGGACCTAGGGACGTGACATCGTCCCGACGCCTTTCGTGGCTCATGGCTCATCCTGTCCCCCTCCATGTTCACGCTCATTCCAGGCTCTTACCGGCTATCGGAAAAGCGTTCGAAGGCTGACGTCGTCGTCGTCGTCGCCACCGCCGCCATCGACACTGAAAGAACAATAATTCGCGTGAGCGTCCGCGTCCAGTCAGAAGATCGCGCCGCGTCGCCGATGCACCGGCGACTGATCGGTGACGGCGGGATGGAGAAGAAAAGGCAACAGATCGCGCCGTATCGCCCATGCATCGGCGATGCGGCGCAATCCTCCGTCCCCATCTGCTCTGGCGCCACTTGGGAGGCCTGGATGTTTGTTCTTCGACCTAAGACGAAGCCAGGACGAAGATCAAATCGGGTGAGGATGCATCGAGAATCCCTGAAAACCGGCGGCTCTGGAGGATGTCTCGGGCGCCGCGGCCTCCTCAGAGCGTTATGGGACGCTCTGCGAGCGTTCCAGAACGCTCTGGAACGGATGTACCCTTGTCCCATCGGCCACAAGACAGGGGACACCACCAGGCACGCAAGTCGCTGCCAGCTGCTGTCGCATCGCACTCAGGGATCGGGGGGGCCCACACCAAAGATCACTCCGGCAAGAAGCCACTCTTACGCGCCATCCTGCACCTGGCCCCGTGGGAAGCGGGCCCTGGACCCCAGGGCCTTTGCTATCCCCCCCTTGCGCCCGGCGATGCCCAAAGAGGAGGAGGAGGAGGAGGAGATTGGGGAGGTAGGAGGGGGAGGAGGATGAGGATGAGGATGAGGATGAGGATGATGATGAGGAGGAGGAGGAGGAGGAGAGGAGGAGGAGAGGACGAGGAGGAGGAGGGGCCTTCTCCCCGGCCGAGCTCTCCCTCCCGCGCCGTTCTCTCTGCCAGCCGCGGGGCCCGCGGAAGGGCCCCTGGAGCCCGAGAGCGGCGGAAAAAAGCCTTGGGACCCGCCCCCCTCCCCTGAGATCCTCCTCCTCCGCCTTCTCCTCCTTCTCCTCCTTCTCCTCCCTCTGCTCCTTCTCCTCCTTCTCGTCCTCCTCGTCCTCGCCCTACTCCATATCCTCCTCATTCTCCTCCTCCTCCTCCTCCTCCTCCTCCTCCTCCTCCTCCTCCTCCTCCTCCTCCCTTCTTCCTCCTCATCGCAACAAATCACGACCGGAGCCCCAGGCCCCATCTGCCTGCGCCGCGCCTCGAGCCGCATCGGCCTGCGAGAGAGGCCCCGGGGGCCCGAGAAGTAACTCGTAGAGCTTCCCTTAGCTAGTTGCTGGAAGCTTAGGAGTAATTCCGGGGCGCTGGAGAGCTAGTTGGCAAGAAAAATCTCGACGGACCTTTTGCTGACTTTTGGTCGGTTGAAAATTTTCTTCTCGAAATTCAACCATTCGTTAGAGCTCTAGTACTTTTTCCCACCATATTCGATCTTATTCCCGCTCGCCGTCTTAATCTCAGCTCGATCGGGTACCTTTTACTGCCAAAAAGCGTCGCGGCGGGATCGGCTGGTTCGAGTCATCTTGACAGGTGCTGTCGGTTTTCTGTACTTAACTCGAGCTATAGGGGAGCTACAGAGCTGGTGCTCACAGAAACCGATTCAGAATCATCAGACGCGTTCGTCTGTTGCATCTAGAGGTCTGGAATCAGTCTGCTACTCGAGCTAGGTCCGCGAAACTATTTGTATTATTCGAATCATCTTGACAAACACTTTCAGTTTTCTGTACTTAACTCGGGCTGTAGGGACGCTACAGAGCTGTTACGCACAGAAACTGATCTAGAATGACTAGGCGCGTTCATCTGAAGCATCTAGAGGTCTGAACTCAGTCTGCTACTCGAGCTAGGTCTGCAAAACTATTCGTATTCGATCGATTTGCTTGACATATGCTCTTGGTTTGTTGTACTTAACTCGAGCTGTAGAAGAGCGACGTAGCTGGTACGCACAGAAACTGATTCAGAATCATGAGACGCGGTAGTCTGGAGCATCTAGAGGTC